GGTCTAACCCCTGAGGACGCCTTCCTTGCTCATCACAAGATGTTAAATCATCAATGAATAATTCCTGACGTTTTTCCACTGGAGTCCATTCTTCATTTACGAAACGTTTATATATGTATTCATCTAGTTGTCCATAATGATCGTGTAACTTAAGGTTATGCTTTAGTGGGGCGAGATGTCCTACTACCTACGATCACACCATTTGCACACTTCCCTACGATCTGCCAGCAGACGATCAACATGCTGACTCCCTGAACAAATATCTTCTCCAATTGTTTATTTATAAAGCTCTCTGTAGGCAGATTACCACCTTAACTCTCTCTACACAGAATAGAATATAAGGTTCGTAACATCCCTCCGGAGCCAGGGGGAAAAGATGGAATTTCCCATTTTTTCCATGTCATTCTTCCACAAATTAAGTACAAGTTTCAAAATATACTTAACCCAACCTTTTCATATCTTAAATAATAAGCAAAATTTGTAAACAATATATACAACTTTATGTAGGCATATAACTTAAGTCACTCCAGATGTTGGCAATCTTGAAGGAACATCTGCAATGATATTTAAATTACTTGGGACATGTCTGTTGGTTATACTCCTGCAGGAGCAATAACCTTAATATCCCTTGTTTCATAATAACCCCGTGTTTGGGTTGTGGCTTCCCCTGGCAGTCTATCATCCACCCAACGTCAACTCAGTAGTTCATATACCCTTACCATGTGCATATTCTGTATTATGATATTATATTTTTCATTGTATTCTATGTTCTAAGGTGTGTGACTTTCATTCTCTGCCTTTGCTACGGCTCAATTACCGAGACAAGTAGTTTAGAGTGACGCAACCCGTTCTCGCAAATTTAATAAGTCAATATTGACTTATTAAATATGTGCATAGGTGACATACTTAACATAATAGATACCCTTAAAAAGATTCATAGAAAACACCGACCTTACCTAACCTTGTTAGTATCTTAAGATAAGCATCTTATTGCTTCGTAATTACAATTATTACCTAACCTATAATAGGTATAGGTTAAGTAATAATTGTAAATACGAAGCAATAAGATGCTTATCTTAAGATACTAACAAGGTTAGGTAAGGTCGGTGTTTTCTATGAATCTTTTTAAGGGTATCTATTATGTTTAGTATATCACCTATGCACGTAGTTAATAAGTCAATATTGACTTTACGAATTTGCGAGAACGGGTTGAGTGACGCCACCCACGCTCCTGGAGGGCAAGTGAGGTAACATCATGTGCCGACCAACTTCCCAAATTTCAGTCGATTTTGAACGCTCGTCGGTGAAGGTTGAACTCCACTGGTCTTAATCATTTGCTCCGACAGTTTGATAAGATTTGTGTGTTTTGGTAATATAACTTTTCTGATTTTGTATTTTGGTATTTTGTTGTCCGAGTCATGAAGTTATTATTCATTTTAAGTTTTTTGTTTCATTTTTTATGCCATCATTATTTTACGTGTGCAAGACAGACGAATTGCACGTTTCGTGTTTGTTTTATTAAGTTAACATTTTCTTTTACTTTTGGATTTTTACTTTGATCTTGATTACTCATAATCACATTAACTTAAATGCAGTTCTTTGTTTTTTATGATGTGTTAGCTGTCTATAATCCGGGTATAACCTCAGTACCTTAATTAACTTAACACCCAGGATTTCAGGTCTCCATGTGAGCAGTGTATGACAAACATATGAACCGTTTACACCTCGACAGTATTTGACACATATATGTCAAATTTCTAACTGAACACAACAACGATAGAGCTCTTTTTCTACTGTTAAATAGATAGTTCGTTGTGTTGCAATCTCCTTCGGTTCCTACAGCTGGCCCAGTTCTCCAACCAGCGCTTGCTACGCTGGGCCTTGCATCTAATGAACCATCTCACCATCTCCTCGGATCACCATTCTCGCTGATCCATTCAGCAGGCTCGATTCTACAACAAACTTGTACTTTACTGAACAAGTACTTATACTTGTATTTGATCAAGTACTTGTACAAGTACTTGTACTTGTACTTCAATCCCCGACCGTCCTAGTGGTTGGGCACCATTCATTTCCCTCTTTGTCCAATCCCAAATCCTTATCCTGACCCTTTCTCAGTGCAATATAGTCGTAATGGCTTGGTGCTTTCCCCCCTGATAATTCCCTACTGTTAAATAGTTTCTCTGTCAGTGCATTTCTTGGAATAGTAATGTATTGGGTGGTAAAGGTCATCATCTTCTTCCTGAGTCACTACAGCACAAGCTCCTTAGCCCGATGCATCTATATACAGTTTGAAGCGTTTGGAATAGTCATGCTAAGGTTATACCGGGGCTGATGGCAACATTCCTCTCAGTTTAGTAAAGGCATCCTGATATTCCTGCGACCATTTAAACTTTATATTCTTACATGTTAAGTTTGTCAGAAGAGATGCAATCACTGAAAAAATTCGGCAAATTTTCCTGTAAAGCAAATATCCCATATATCTTTGTACCTCTTTCTTGCCGGCTAATACAGGATAATTCTCAATATACCTTATTATATTCCTTAGTGGGAATACCATTCCATTCCCCGCCTTATATCCCAAATAAGAGATAGTTGCCTTGGCAAATGTATTCTTCTCTAAATTTACAGTCAGATTTGCCTCCTGTAAACACTGTAATAATTTAGCTAATCCCTTCACGAGATTCTCCCAACCTCGTGAAGGGTAAATTACCTCGTAATGTGGTAAATTATAATATCGTGCAAGTAAGCTCGGCAATGGTGTATCTCTTAACACTGAATTCATAAGACGCTGAGAGATAGCTGGAGCATTTTTTATTTAATCCAAAAGGCATGACTAAAACCTTAAACGGTTCATTTGAACGGGAAGTAGAAAATTATCACCCACAGTCACTGAATTGATTTTGTGGTAATCTGCACACAGTCAGTGAGTTTCATCGTCAATTTTTCAGTGATTTCATTGTTACGTTAGTCGCACCTTTAACGAAATGGTGGATTCCATTACTAACATTGTTAGATACAGAGTATGTACCTAACTGTACATTAGCCTGTAAGGTAGTACAGGCTGCACTCACAACACCCGCAACAGCCCCTACCAAAGCATCTACTTATAACTAGCTTCGTAATCTGAAGTGTTGGGTTCTCGTATTTCAAGCTCTTTATATATAATATTTATATCGCTAGCAGCTTCTCATTCGTACTTGTTGCTTGGTTTTTCTCAAGCATCTTTTGGCCTCTTTGATCTGAGTCTGTCTAATTTGTAGCTTATTCAGCACGAGGATGAGAAAATGAATAATTTTACTGTAGCAAAGTATTTTGTAGCGTTACTCTAGTTCCCACAGAAAAATTATATATATATATATATATATATATATATATGCGAACAAGCCTGAATGGTCCCCAGGACTATATGCGAAATGAAAACTCACACCCCAGAAGTGACTCGAACCCATACTCCCAGAAGCAACGCAACTGGTAACTACAGGGCGCCTTAATCCGCTTGACCATCACGGCCGTCAAAAGGAAGTGATAGTGGAAGTGATTTGTGTTCCTCACGTGTGCCCCAAAGAATGAGGTGATTTGGTGAAATGCTATGCCCAAGATTACCATCCGAGTTGCCGTCGGGGAAGTGGCTCAAATAGCCTCGGCTATCACTTCCTTTTGACGGCCGTGATGGTCAAGCGGATTAAGGCGCCCTGTAGTTACCAGTTGCGTTGCTTCTGGGAGTATGGGTTCGAGTCACTTCTGGGGTGTGAGTTTTCATTCATATATATATATATATATATATATATATATATATATATATATATATATATATATATATATATATATATATATGTATATTAGTATATTTTGGTAGCAGCCTTTCCTGTAGACATATATTAATAAATATGACCGAAAAAGTAAGATTAATAATTCTAACACGAATTTTCTCAATCTTTCGTACATTTCTTTTCACTGTTGGAGGTAATTCAAAAATCAATTCTCCAAAATTCATTTTTATTTCTAGTCTGACGCGACACTTGAGCGCGTTTCGTAAAACTTATTACATTTTCAAAGACTTTACACATACACAACTGAATAGAACTTACATATCTCCGATTTGTTTATATCTACATTTGAGTGAGGTGGATGGGGTGAGGTGGTATTTAATAGGGTATTAAATTCAAACACAAGACAGAACACGAAACAATGGGTATTGAAATGGAAGTGATTGTAGAAAGCCTATTGGTCCATATTTCTTGATGCTTCTATATTGGAGCGGAGTCTTGAGGTGGGTAGAATATAGTTGTGCATTAATTGGCTGTTGATTGCTGGTGTTGACTTCTTAATGTGCAGTGCCTCGCAAACGTCAAGCCGCCTGCTATCGCTGTATCTATCGATGATTTCTGTGTTGTTTACTAGGATTTCTCTGGCGATGGTTTGGTTGTGGGAGGAGACTTCTCTTCCCACAACCAAACCATTGTTGTATATATCTCAAAAAAAAAAAAAAATAGAAATTCATATTTTTTACAGCTTGTTTGAGCTATGTGGTGAGAGGTCAGTTGATAGGTAACAAGGTAGACAAATTCAAGCTGATGGAGGAAATTATCAGGGGGAAAGCGCCAAGCCATTACGACTATATAAGTCTTGGAAGGGGCAGGATAATGACTTGGGATGAGACGAGAAAAAAGGAATGGTGCCCCGATCACTTGGACGGTCGGGGATTGAACGCCGACCTGCATTCAATAAGACACAGTCTACTTTTGTTTTGTTTTGTGACTCTGATGTAAGTTACTGTACCGTGGCACTTTATTGACACTCTCCCGATTATAAAGTGGTTGGGCACCATTCCTCCCCCCCCCTAATCCTAATTCCCTAATCCTTATCCTGACCTCTTTCCCAGTGCCATATAGTCGTAATGGCTTGGTGCTTGCCCCCTGATAATTCCCTTCCCTTCACCCAATTATAATTGTACAACCATTTATGAATAAAGTCTTTGATTGGATTGAAATTTTTAGATGTTTCTTACAGCTCTGAAAGTTTGTAGCCCTGAATGTATTGATGACGAAATGACCAATGTCTATGAAAATGCCGCCAATTGCAATAACCCAAACCAGTTTTGGACTTTTCAGCGGGAAAGACAAAGTTTTCAGCGGGAAAGTCAAAGTTTTCAGCCGGAAAGACAAAGTTTTCAGCGGGAAAATCAAAGTTTTCAGCGGGAAAGTCAAAGTTTTCAGCGGGAAAGTGAAAGTTTTCAGCGGGAAAGTCAAAGTTTTCAGCGAGAAAGTCAAAGAAGACATTTTAACATCACAAACCTAAGGCTAAACTTGACCTAAAAAGTCTTTTTTTACTTCTGTTCTCTGAAGGACCTGACTTCACGTTCCACTGATTTCGAGGATCAATGTCACCGCGGCCCGGTCTCTGACCAGACCTCCTCTTTGGTGATCTGGTTAGCCTGGTGGCTTTTCGCAGCTCGACGTGTAGTACACAGTCTCGTTGATCAGGAACCCTTTTGCAAGTGTTTATCGAGTGCTCTTTTTAACACCGCGAGAGGTCAGCCACATAGCGCCCCTTGTGTGTGGCGGGAGTGTTGAACAGTCTTGTGTGTGGAGGGAGAGTGTTGAACAGTCTTGTGTGTGGAGGGAGAGTGTTGAACAGTCTCATGTGTGGAGGGAGTGTGTTGAACAGTCTTATATGAGGAGGGAGAGTGTTGAACAGTCTTATATGTGGAGGGAGAGTGTTGAACATTCTTATATGTGGAGGGAGAGTGTTGAACAGTCTTGTGTGTGGCGGGAGTGTTGAACAGTCTTGTGTGTGGAGGGAGAGTGTTGAACAGTCTTGTGTGTGGAGGGAGAGTGTTGAACAGTCTTGTGTGTGGAGGGAGAGTGTTGAACAGTCTTGTATGTGGAGGGAGAGTGTTGAACAGTCTTAAGTGTGGCGGGAGTGTTGAACAGTCTTGTGTGTGGCGGGAGAGTGTTGAACAGTCTTGTGTGTGGAGGGAGAGTGTTGAACAGTCTTGTGTGTGGAGGGAGTGTTGAACAGTCTTGTGTGTGGAGGGAGAGTGTTGAACAGTCTTGTGTGTGGAGGGAGAGTGTTGAACAGTCTTGTGTGTGAAGGGAGAGTGTTGAACAGTCTTGTGTGTGGCGGGAGAGTGTTGAACAGTCTTGTGTGTGGAGGGAGAGTGTTGAACAGTCTTGTGTGTGGCGGGAGTGTTGAACAGTCTTGTGTGTGGAGGGAGAGTGTTGAACAGTCTTGTGTGTGGCGGGAGTGTTGAACAGTCTTGTGTGTGGAGGGAGAGTGTTGAACAGTCTTAAGTGTGGCGGGAGTGTTGAACAGTCTTGTGTGTGGCGGGAGAGTGTTGAACAGTCTTGTGTGTGGAGGGAGAGTGTTGAACAGTCTTGTGTGTGGAGGGAGTGTTGAACAGTCTTGTGTGTGGAGGGAGAGTGTTGAACAGTCTTGTGTGTGGAGGGAGAGTGTTGAACAGTCTTGTGTGTGGAGGGAGAGTGTTGAACAGTCTTGTGTGTGGCGGGAGAGTGTTGAACAGTCTTGTGTGTGGAGGGAGAGTGTTGAACAGTCTTGTGTGTGGCGGGAGTGTTGAACAGTCTTGTGTGTGGAGGGAGAGTGTTGAACAGTCTTGTGTGTGGCGGGAGTGTTGAACAGTCTTGTGTGTGGAGGGAGAGTGTTGAACAGTCTTGTGTGTGGAGGGAGAGTGTTGAACAGTCTTGTGTGTGGCGGGAGTGTTGAACAGTCTTGTGTGTGGAGGGAGAGTGTTGAACAGTCTTGTGTGTGGAGGGAGAGTGTTGAACAGTCTTGTGTGTGGAGGGAGAGTGTTGAACAGTCTTATATGTGGAGGGAGAGTGTTGAACAGTCTTGTGTGTGGAGGGAGAGTGTTGAACAGTCTTGTGTGTGGCGGGAGTGTTGAACAGTCTTGTGTGTGGAGGGAGAGTGTTGAACAGTCTTGTGTGTGGCGGGAGTGTTGAACAGTCTTGTGTGTGGAGGGAGAGTGTTGAACGGTCTTGTGTGTGGAGGGAGAGTGTTGAACAGTCTTGTGTGTGGCGGGAGTGTTGAACAGTCTTGTGTGTGGAGGGAGAGTGTTGAACAGTCTTGTGTGTGGAGGGAGAGTGTTGAACAGTCTTGTGTGTGGAGGGAGAGTGTTGAACAGTCTTGTGTGTGGAGGGAGAGTGTTGAACAGTCTTATATGTGGAGGGAGAGTGTTGAACAGTCTTGTGTGTGGAGGGAGAGTGTTGAACAGTCTTGTGTGTGGAGGGAGAGTGTTGAACAGTCTTATATGTGGAGGGAGAGTGTTGAACAGTCTTGTGTGTGGAGGGAGAGTGTTGAACAGTCTTGTGTGTGGCGGGAGTGTTGAACAGTCTTGTGTGTGGAGGGAGAGTGTTGAACAGTCTTATATGTGGAGGGAGAGTGTTGAACAGTCTTAGGCCCTTAATATATGTGGAGTTCTTTCTTAGAGTACTTATTGCACCTTTGTTTTTCAACTGGAGTATTTGAACGCCACCGACCAGGACTAACACAACACGTAATAGAATTCAACGCCACCGACCAGGACTAACACAACACGTAATAGAATTCAACGCCACCGACCGAAACTAACACAACACATAATAGAATTCAACGCCACCGACCGAGACTAACACAACACATAATAGAATTCAACGCCACCGACCGAGACTAACACAACACTTAATAGAATTCAACGCCACCGACCGAGACTAACACAACACATAATAGAATTCAACGCCACCGACCGAGACTAACACAACACATAATAGAATTCAACGCCACCGACCGAGACTAACACAACACATAATAGAATTCAACGCCACCGACCGAGACTAACACAACACATAATAGAATTCAACGCCACCGACCGAGACTAACACAACACAGTCCCTCTTGGTCCTTCCAGTGACAATGACGGTGAATTTGCATGTGTACAGCTGGCCAAGACGGACTGTTCGTCCTCCTGCCTCACTCTGTCCCTGTTTGTGGGTCATGGAGCTGAACTGAGCCTTTGGTGCAGCTGCGTCTCCTGTTCCTCCTGTTTCTGCTGTGGCTGCTGACTGTTGCTGCTGCTGTTTCTGCTCGTGCTGTTGCAGTTTATCCTTTTGTTGTTGCTCTGCGCGTGTCTGATCTTGCTGCTGCTGTTCTTGTTGCTGTGTCTGCTCGTGTTGTTGCTGTGCCTGCATTTTTGCCTACTGCTAATAATGCTGTGTCTGTTCTTCCTGCTGCTGGTGTTACTGCTGCGTCTGCTCTTGATGCTGCTGTTATTGCTGTGTCTACTCTTGCTGCTCCTGCTAATACTGCTGTGTCTGCTCTTTCTGCTGCTACTGCTGTGTCTGCTCTTTCTGCTGCTACTGCGGTGTCTGCTCTTTCTGCTGCTACTGCTGTGTCTGCTGTTGCTACTGCTCTTGCTATAATTGCTGTGTCTGTTATTTCTGTAGCTGCTGCTATTATTGCTGTGTCTGCTGTTGCTATTGCTGCTGCTATTATTGTTGTGTCTGCTGTTGCTTTAATTGTTGTGTCTGCTGTTGCTATTGCTGCTGCTATTATTGCTGTGTCTGATCTTTCTGCTGCTACTGCTGTGCCTGCTGTTGATGCTGCTATTATTGCTGTGTCTGCTGTTACTATTCCTGCTGCTATTGTTGCTGTGTCTGCTCGTTCTGCTGCTGTTATTGCTGTGTCTTGTTGTTGTTGCTGCTGCTGCTGGTACTGATGTGTCTGCTCTGGTTTCTGCTGCTGTTAATGCTGCTGTTTCAACTTTGGCACTTGCTGATGTTCCTGCTGCTGCTGCTGCTGCTGCTGTATTTGCTGCCCCGACTGTCGTTCCTCCTAAAATAGCAATGAAATTGCTATTTGGGCGATGCTCCTCATGTTTTGAAATGTCTAGATGGTGATTAAACTCTGGAGTGAATTTGGTCACAGGGCGCTGACCTCTTGGCGATGTTCTGTTCCTCTGATAGTGAAGTCTCTCTTCTTGTAAACATTAAACCAAATGAGAAAGACGAGTGTGTTTTCGACACTCTGTTCCGAGTGTGTACGACACTCTGTTCCGAGTGTGTACGACACTCTGTTCCGAGTGTGTACGACTACATTGTTTCATGAGCTAGCTATGTGATGCCCAAGACTGCACTTAGGGCCGCATAGTTCGTGTCATGAGCTAGCTATGTGGTGCCCAAGACTGCACTTAGGGCCGCATAGTTCGTGTCATGAGCTAGCTATGTGGTGCCCAAGACTGCACTTAGGGCCGCATAGTTCGTGTCATGAGCTAGCTATGTGATGCCCAAGACTGCACTTAGGGCCGCATAGTTCGTGTCATGAGCTAGCTATGTGGTGCCCAAGACTGCACTTAGGGCCGCATAGTTCGTGTCATGAGCTAGCCATGTGGTGCCCAAGACTGCACTTAGGGCCGCATAGTTCGTGTCATGAGCTAGTTATGTGGTGCCCAAGACTGCACTTAGGGCCGCATAGTTCGTGTCATGAGCTAGCTATGTGGTGCCCAAGACTGCACTTAGGGCCACATAGTTCGTGTCATGAGCTAGCTATGTGGTGCCCAAGACTGCACTTAGGGCCACATAGTTCGTGTCATGAGCTAGTTATGTGGTGCCCAAGACTGCACTTAGGGCCGCATAGTTCGTGTCATGAGCTAGCTATGTGGTGCCCAAGACTGCACTTAGGGCCACATAGTTCGTGTCATGAGCTAGCTATGTGGTGCGAAAAATCACCACCTCAGATAATGAGGTTTGAGGGTGCGTGATCCACTTAAGGGCCCCGGTAACGGTGCATCGGAACTTCCTCAAACACATTAAATTTTTTTGTGAGTAATATTTTCATGGTAAATGCTCCAACTTTTCCTAATGGATCAACATCATACCACGAACAAAAAAAAAATGAAAGGCCCGGTGAAAAAGAACAAGTGAAAAATTGAAATTGAAAATTTAACTTTAAAAAGTTAAAAAAAAAGAAAAAATATATAAAAAATTTCGAATTTCAAATTAGTGATAAAAATATTAAAAATGCAACCAATTGTTATATTATTCATTATGGACTCAGAATGGCATATAACGTTCATGTTCCTAGTTGAAAAATATTGTTTGAGAGTATAGTTTACTGGAAAAAAAAAAATTCAATGTGGCCATCCAAATATGTGCAAAATATAGAGGCAAACAATTTATAACTTCAAATGTATTGGCTTTATGACTAAACGACAACAAGGAAACCTTAGAACTAAAACCTTCGCATATAATATGTACAAATGGTGAGAATCGGTCAGAAACTGAATTTTTTAAGTGATCTCAAAGTTGAAATTCCTATTATAGAG